TATATATACATCTATATATGTATGTATATAATATTTTGCAAATATTTTTGACAATATCTATGTAAATATTTTGTTTTTCTAAATGCAAATAAAATCATATTATTTCTTAATTGTTGGAAAAATTTGTTTATTCTTGAATAATTGAAAAAATCTTAAAGGTAGCCTGATAAAATTTTGTCAAAAACATATTTATAAATATGCTGACAAAATAATAAATTTACGATACTTTTCGAACAGACCTCGTGCACACATCCCACTACCCAACTCAGCTTAAATTATTTTTCCTTAATAAAAAAAATATAAATATATAAAATAAAACAATTGAATTCAAATCAAAATCACATTTGATTTGACGATTTCGTAGTGAGTCACAAACAACTCTGACAATTTGACAGCAAAAATTCGTTAAGCTTGTTGGCTAGCGTAATCAAATAGGATGTATAATGATTACATATGTATTTCATCTATTTTTGCACTCGCATTCACATTTATTGTCAAAAGAACCAAAAATGACTTTTATAATGTATATAAAGACATTAGAATGCCTTGCTCGATTGGTGATTACTAATACAGCTATAAATAGAGCTGCAAGGTGCATAGTGAATGCTCTATAAAAATATATACATATATTTATTATGCATACATAACATGAAAGTTAACGACTAACGGGTGCTCTATAAAAACAATACATTTAAATTTATATTTTACTAGATCAATTATGTAAATGTAATAAAAAAATATATTCTTTTCATCGTATATTTATCTAAATTATTTCGAGTTGTGATTATGTAGACTTGTAAAATAATAAACTGAAACCTATAGCAAAGAGCTGGTTCGCATTGTGAGCCAGCAATATTTGCTAGGCAAGTTGGCAGCCCTGGCACTCGGAATTTGGCAATTAGCATCTGCCTAATTGTCAAATAAAATATGTTCACCATTTTTTTACAGGGTATATACAAAAGCATACACATATGTATATGTAATTTGTTCATACATACATGATAACACACACATTGTGAAAGGTGAAAGAAAGCACAGAAATTTGTGTGTGCATGGTCAATTTTAAAGACTTGGGCGGCGTTGATCGACGTGGGCGACTGGGTCAAGTTCAGATGAGACATTCAAGGGGGGCCGCAGTTGAATCATCTGTGGGCACACAGCGACGCCCAAAGGAATGTGAATGTAGATATATGTATGTATGTGTATATGTATATATAAATTTACATGTGTAAAAATCAAGATGTATTAGCTAGGAACTTTTGCTGACCTAGCCTATGTATGTGTGTACATACATACACACATATGTAAATGCATATGTGTGCAGTTTCGACAAATACTAATTTGTAAAGTTAAATACATAAATATTGTATAAATTTTAATACATTATGTCTCTATAACTAATATATACATATATACGATACCTGTGTCACACACAATTTCCCCAGTTAACATTTTTAAAGTGTTTTAGTTTTCAACACAAATTCACTTTTTCACTTTAGCAAAAAGTTATAGATCGCAAAGCAACGATATGCAGCTTTAATGACTATCTATCGAGCTATCGATAAGTATTGTTAGCGATGCTTCTCGATGCTTCTCCGCTCTATGTGAATTCTGTAAGCTGTGTATTCGATTGCTAAGGACTTACAGCAAGAGGAAGAAGTGTATTACAAGCGATGTTTCTCGATGATTCTCCGCTCTATGTGAATGCTGTAAGCTGTCAATCCGATTGTAAGTCCTCACAAGAAGAAGAAGCTGTTAACCACTCTTGCTGTCTCCCTCTCCCTCACTTTTTGCCTGTCGTCCGGGATGAGTAAGCGAATATCTGATACAACAGCTGCAGGAGCTATAAACTCAAATTTGGAAGCAAAAGAAACCAACGATGCCGAACCAGGCAATCGAGTCAAGAAGTTGAAGCTCTTGGAGGATTCGCCCGAGGCAACTCATTTTAAACTGAAGCCAGCTGAAGGGAAAATTTCGCCTCAGCCGGCCCAAACTCTGCGGCAATTGTTGAGTATGGACGACGAGCCATGGCCAGCAACAACAGTATCTGCATCTGGAGCTGAAGATGGAGACGACAAAGGCAAAGAAGAAGAACAAGGCGAAGAAGAAGAAGCGGTAGTCGAAGAACTTCAAAGCAATAGAACCGACGAGCCTCTCGCTAAGTCTAAAAGCTTCTCGGGGCAACTGTGCAAGCAGAAGGACTTGGCGCCCACTTCGCAATGCCCTATAAATGGGGAAATTGTAGAGCAGGTGACCTACTTTGACACCTGGTATGTTATACGGCACACACTCGTTCCGGTTGACACGCGTCAGCAGCGACATTACTTGAAGCTACCGCTGGTCAAGCTGGCCAATGCGGCCAACCACATGAAATTGCCCACGGCGAACTGGAGCAGCAAGGTCACCCTGTATAAGGTGGCCCCAGCTGTGCTACAACGTCACACCCTGACCATATACACCGGCGACCTGAAGGTGCACAAGATACCCGAGCGGGAGCGCCACAAGTATCAGCCGTCCTGTGTGATCTTTCGCCGGGAGCTGCCGCCCGAGGAGCACAACAAATGCCATGTGCCCTTTGATCGTGTCGTCATCTTCAAGCACAACCAATTTTCGGTCAATTTCGATGGCAAGCTAGTCAATCTAGCGGGTGCCCCGGAGGCGGTCACGTCTCTGCAGGATGTGCAAAAATTACTGGATATTGTGGACAGCATTACGCTGTCCCATTCAATGGTGGAAGTAGTAATGTCCAAATGATGACACCTCTCTTATTCCGAGTCAAATAAACCGTATAGCAATCTGATCAATTATTATGTATAATAGTTTAAATAGAAACACAAATGCTGTTATTGTTCTGGAAATGTTCAAAGAAATTAATTGGCTGTACCAAAAACATTTATATAGGTAATTTATTATGATATCATTTATCTTAGCAATTCTCGAACTTGTTTAGCACCTAATATCTCTTTTTAAAGACGTATGGCCATCGTTGCGAATGATGCAATATAAGAGTACTTTCGAAACAAAAATTCCGGCGAGAATTTCGTATAGAATAGTTACAGTTATGTAACAAATTAATAGTCTTCCAATCAAAGACATTTATTGTTTGCATATTTACATACTTACTGGACTATTTATAGATATATTATGTATATATGTATGCGAACAATAACTTGTCTTTGAATATCAGATTTAATAATTCTCTTTTCGCATATGCCATTTTAGACTTTTCCCACCAGATTTGGCTTTTAGAAGTACTCATACAAAAAAAATTGAAATAAAAATAAAAATAAAATTAACTAACGGCCCAGTTCTTAAATACCAATACGAACGCTTTAAAATGAATACAATCTTCAATCAAATGTCTCACATTTTACAACTATTCATAGCCCAATAATTATTATAAAATAAATTTGAAGAATCACTTACCTTGCAGCTGCATTATTGTCATTTGATACTCGGCTAGCTTCTCATCGATGTAGTCCTGAGATTGATTCGCAATAATTTCGGCAGTCGATGGCCCGAACTCCTCCTCATCGTCGTAGATGACATAGGATCTGGGCTGTGGCGGCTCCAAGGGCACGCCCACAAAATCGATCTGATCCTGTCCGTGTTGTCTCGGTTGTGGTGGCAGTGGTGGTGCGCCGGACTGGCGCAGATATTGCGGCGGTGGCGCCGGTTGCGGATATTGCGGCTGCTGGTGCTGATGCTGATGCGACAGCGGCGTCTGCCTGCTGCTGCTGTAGGTAAAGTCCGAGCTGGGCGTTTGGCAGACAATGGGCGACGGTGTGGGCGACAGCTGGAACGAGCTGGTCGGCTGGCCGCCATACGAATTCTGGTGCGGCAGCGGAGCCGGTCGAAAGGGACGCGGACCGGAGCCATACGCATAGCTCGGTGGCAGCGGCTCAAACATGCCCGGCGGCTGATACGGTGCGGGCGACTGATTGCCGCCAGGCCATTGTGGACGTGGATGCGGCATGGTGTTGTTGATGTTGCCGCTGCTCCCGCTGCTGATGCCAATGGGTCGCTGGCCACGCAGCTGGGGCGCCGGCGACATGGCCTGACCATAGGGACGCGGTCCGGATATTATGGGCGGCGGACTGGGCGCTGTTGTCCACGGCGAGGGCGGACGGTACAAAAAGGACGAGGGCGACGGCGAGGCGGGATTGGGTGCCCGTGGATTCCAGCCACGTGGCCCATTGCCAAACGGCGGTGGCCCGGACATATTACAATTTTCACAGCCTACGTTCAGCTACTTTGCGGTTTATTTTCTTTTGATTTTGCGGTTTTGATATGTTGGATATTATTTTCGATCTTAACAAAGACACTTCAATGGGATATTTAATTTTTGATTTGGTTTGGACGGGGGGCACACTTCAATATAACATATTACACTGTGAGTACAGAAGAGATTGAACTGCATGAGTTGACGAATTGGCACCGATAAGAGATTTGAGCGACTAGAGTTCAGGAGGTTCGCTAAGGTTAGTCTATGTAGGTCCCTCACACATACACACACGCGCACTAATTAGCCAGAATAGCACTTTGGCTAATCAATCACTATTTGCACTTAAGCACACCTGAACAACCAACCTAATTATGTCAGACATACGAAACACAAAATAGTCGTACACAAATAAATCATGACCTATTCTAAAATCTCTGATGAAATTGTCTGTAGAGTCAATTCTGTGCTATTTTCTAACGGAAGTGGGCTAAATGTTTATACGGTTTTTCGCACTCAATTCCCAATTCTTGTTCGCTTTGCTCTATAGCTATATATATAGATYCATTTGATTTCGACTTTTTTAAAAATGGGCGCTGACGCCATTTGCTAGCTTTGTCTTTGCCAATTTGAAAAAAAAAAAAAAAAAGAAATAGAATTTCTGTCACAGCAATAGAATATATAGTATATACTTTAGTTGTCTACATATTAATATATCGAACCAATAACTAGTTTGTCTCTGTGGAGAATTAGCCAACTGTCAGCATTTATGAAGGTCTTTTCCAACTCGTAGCATCTCATGGGATGTTTATGCTGCTGAGTGCTCGATGGCATGTGGCAAGGACATAAATACTACACATGCCTAGCCAGCCAACCGACCACTGATATCATTCATAAACATAGTCTGAGCAAAGAGCCAAAAGATGAAGAAGAAGCTCAAGAAAAGCCATTAATTTAAATATTAAATACATATTCATATACGAGTATATTTGTTTGTGTTTTTGGTAGAACTTTTCTCTGAGGTAAAATGACTTTCACAAATATTTTCATTTTCCAACTTAATTGCATTTCAAGTGAATAGAAAAATGGCATTTCAAATGTTTATGAAAGTGAAATGGACAAGTTTTCAACAAATTTTTGCAAATTCAAAAAAAATATATATATGTACATATATATTCACAGTAAAAATTCGCTAGAATCATGTGCGAAGCTATTCTATATATAAATATTTAGACATATACAATGCGTATTCCCATATTAAACTGAATTGATTATAAATAAATCTGTAAAATATATTTAGATTTATATGTAAATAAATATAAATTAGAAATTTTTCATTTAAGTTAAGAATAACTTTTTATAAATATGTGTATACTTTTCGGTTAAATTTCGATATTTTTTCTTTTGTTTCTTATCTTTTCTTTTGTTTTCAAGTAAGTGAAATATATTTGAAATTATAAAGTAATAATTGGAATTCTTTAATAACACAAATAAAA